TAGTCTGAGCACGGGATACCAGGATTGGCCATCCTGGCGTACCTGCATTGATTTTTAATACTCGCGTTTCGCCTTCGTCCCACCCATGTTAAACAATACTGTAGATGCAGACTCCTTCACCTTTCGGTTCAGCAGCCAAGGTCTAATCTGCAGTATGCGTAAAGTGCTAATGCTCACCGCGAACCACTGAAGCTTTTCTCCACGGAGCACTCATCTCAAGTGTGTGCGTGTGCGTGTTCAATACATATCAAACACTAATCGTTTAAGGTGGGTGAGGTATCCAAACCGAGAAAAACACATAGCATCAAAAGGTACTCTGCACACATCTGTACCAGACAGGTTTCGCCCTGGCTTCGGGCGCCCATCGGGCTGTGCCTGTCGCTTGGCATCGGCCGCGCTGACCAAGGAGAGTGTTTCGTCTTCTGCATATCCAAATTTTTCCTGTTGCGGGGGAGCACATCTTGGTTCTATGCAATGTGTACAAAATAGATAATTACAATCTAAAGTCTTTAATATTGTATAATACAGTATATAATGATGTATAGTCTGTATAGTAAAATAGTACTACAGTATATGTTTCATATCAATATCAATATTACTTATCTAACCCTCTTAATCACTTGGACCAGAAGGGTGACTGGTTGGACTCCTCAGTCTCAGCCCACCTTGTACCGCTTGAAGATGTCGCTGACAGACTCAGCAACTTGTTGATGAACCTCGCTTCAATCAAAACAAAGTGACGCCTCTTTGAGACAGCACATTGGCCTCGTCAAGGTACTTCTCGTCAACTGGCTTCTGCTGTCTGACCTGGCTCAGTGACCGGGATGCTTTGCACTGTTCCAGTACTACAGTCTTCCCAAATTCGTTTCTCCCAGGTCATCCATCTAATCAATGCGTAAGTCTTCTCTCACTCTCTGTTTTGAGTGGGCCTTGATGGGCTGACCCCAAACGAAACCCAACGGAGGGTCCAGGAAGCCCATCAAGGTCAGCCCACGGCCACGCAACCTTATGCAAGCATGAGTCAGTCCTCAAACGCCTTCAAGCCTTTCCGTCGAACCAGGGATGTGGATTTTGAACCACACTCGAGTCATCTCAAGACACTTAAGGACGTGAGGCTCCTGCAAAGTGCCGCTCATCCTATGCGATGGTGTGAGCAGTGCTGTAGTGCTGTGCTCACCCCCCAAAAAATGTTACGCCGTGAATGTGGCATAAATGCTCCGGTGAATTCCAGCCTCAAAGGTCGGAGCAAGCTCTGAATGAAGTGTGGGAGGCGAATAGTATGATGAATCCACCTCAATCAAAGGAGAGCGCCGAGCGTGCAATCAATGATGTGCACAAGCAGTGCACCCTGGAAGTCCCAAAAGCAACCAGCTTGCGGCAATGAGAAGGTACAAAAAGACGGTCGGACAAAAGCCTTTCCAAAAAAACCCTTTGGGTTCATAGGCATTGACCCATTGAGCAGGTGGACTGGCCGTGCGGTCATGCTTCGCTTCATGGATATCTTTCTTCTTGGATGCGAGTGTTCGACATGCTCAGGTGGCAATGGCCCGGCTCCTTCTGTGGCTCTTGTTTGAACAAGCTGCTGCTGCATCCGCTTTAAGATAGCACGCATGCAAGTGCTTGCCTGGGGGTGAACCCCTGTAGCGCGTCAAGCACACCACCAACACTTGTTGGTCAGCCACAATCCAACCGTTGGCATCCCCATGGGCGCAAATCACATCTGCTGGCACACGCTCATTGTCGTTCATATATAAAATTTAGTAGTGTATGTATAAATAAATAGATGAATAGATAACTAGATAAATTTATATATATATATATTCATGCCGCATGAGCCCTATCTTCTGCAACAAATGAAAGGCTCATGAAAGCAGAGCTTCGCAGGGGAGGCTGGAAAAGCCTTGTGCACTGCATCCGTGCCGGCGGGCTGTGGAAGGCTGGCTTTAATGCAAAAGGTCGTTTATGGAGGCAAGTTCTTCAAGTTGAAAGCCCCTAGTTCATCCTAGCTCCAATCTTTCAGCAAACTTGAAAATCAGGAAACTTGGTGACCGTAGCAAATAATACTTTCACGTGGTACAAGCTGGTTTACTGGAGTGCCAGAGGCATCATCTACACTGGCACGACCGGTCTAAGAAGATATAAGATGATATAAGAAGGAACTACTCAGACCTGCTAAAGCACACTTAAAAGCACCGAAGAAAAAAACAAAACATTTGATAGTTCACGGAGAAGCTGTGTTCACCAAGCAGCTTCTCTGATCTGAGGCCGCCACTTTTCACCAAAGCAGAACCCTGGCACAATGTCCAGGCCATTTTCGATGGAGAGTTTCACGAAGCCTTTTCGGTCCGTCATGACCAGCTGCGTGTCCTGGACCGGAAGCCTTCTTGTGCGATGTGCGGCGTGTGCGATTGTGTCTCAGTGTGTTTGTCACGAAAAGTGATGCACATCAGTGGTGCCTTTGACTCGCCATCTGTGAGATTCATCTCATCGATGCCTCCAGGAAGAAGAATGAGATTCTCGCCTGAGGTCCAGTTAGGTGGATGAGAAAAATACACGTTTGCAAAATCTGCTAAACAACACCAGCATGGACCCCAAACAGCTCCAGCAGGGTTTTGTTGCTTCAATTCCTTGAATTCCGATGTTGGAGAAAACCATGGATGATATCAAATCTTGAAACGCTGCGCCACTGTTGCATTCATAGCCACAAGAAAACCCACCCGGACAAGGCGGCCTGGAGAACGGGAAAGCAGCGTGGCCAAGCAGGGGACAAGGCCCGGACAGGGTGGAGATGACAGGCACCACACAGCCAACAAGGCGGTGAAGAAAGAGCGGAGGGCGCGGCCACAGCTATCGTGGCCAGCAGCGCAAAGGGTTTGCGAGCACGGAGAGAGAGCAACAGGAGGACAACATCCAGGGGAGCGGCCAGAGTCAGTGGCCAGCGTTTTCCCCCTAGAGAACCCAACAGTAAGCTGTTTGGGGAACTAAAGGACTCTTGATGACCTTAGGCCCTTTCAGATCGAGATAGTAGATGGATGTAGATAGCATATGGGCACCATACTGGGCACCATATGGGCATCCATATCCATTGGATTCCATTGGTGTTCTTGCATGCTTAACCACATGCGCTTGGGTCAACAATAGCGCGTCCGACAGATCACACCCCGACCTCGAGAGATCGCACGCTCCAGGGTCGGCCTCATGCGGAGCTCGAGGGAGAGAGCTCAGTTCGAGCCGTTTGCAGTGACACACGAGGCACTTAAGGTCAACACTTCGATGCATCTAGACATCCGCAAAAGAGTGACATCTCACGAATGCCTCAATGAGAAACTCGGACACAGCAGCACAGCAGGGCAAGACATTCTCTGCCTCTCAGCTTGTTTATGCGTGTGGCCGTAGGTGGCTACACTTTCTGACACATGCACCTGGCAGGAAGAAAGCTGCACCGAAGCTGCCCCAACCTCAAAGGCATGCATGAGGGATGTTCAAATCGAATTGGGGCTTCGTCATGCTTCGCGTCTTTCTTCACTTGAGTTTCGGGCGCGCAGAGATGCCTCGGAAAGTGAAAGACAGGCCAACAGTAACATGCGAGTCTTCACACACGACCTGCCTGGGAACAAGGTTTGCCAGCATCCGATGCCGCCAGAAAATGCACGGCAAACCCCATAGACACCTAAAGCAAATACCAGGTAGAGCAGCATTGACAAAAAGAAAGGATAGACTGTGCATTTAGAAATGCAATTAATTAAGCCTGAGGGACTGACCATGGGGATACATTGCAAAAAGGTATTTACCCTCACAGTCGCACAATCTCATGAAATACTTCATCAGTCAAACAATCTGCCCATCACCCACCTTAGGATCAGGGGCTGGTCCTTCCCTGATCACGGTGGCATCATGATAGGACAGAATGAAATCCACCAGGGGCCCATGAAGCAACCTTAGGTGCCAATTCAGGCAATTGTGCCAACACATGCCTTACAATCGCACGGACAACTCTGCAACCAAGAAACCATCGATACGGCCAGCCCTTCTTGAGATGAGGCCTGTACACCTCATCGAACCAAAGAAATTCTGGTCAAGGCTCCCATGGATGCTAGGCCGCTAGCCGCTAGGTCTGCCAGGTTTTGGGTCCCCAGGCAAACAGCTGTATGGTGTAAAGAGTGGAAAAGGACCACAAAGCCTTCCATGAACACACCCCGCTGGCCCACGGAGACCTCAGACGGCACCGACAGGTCCCTGCGGGAAACGACTGAGCTGGCGGTAGGGTCTCAGGCTGCGGCAGGGCGAGCCAAAGCACGGTACCGACCTTAGGGCGCCAGCCACACGGTATCAAAACAAGCTGTTGGCAGTCATGTGGCAGTGCATTCTTGACCCTGCTCAGTCATTCACTCTGGCTCCAGCAATGTTAGAGCGTACACTTAAGCTGCTCGCGGGCCAAAAGAAAAAGTACGATGTAAAGAGAAGCTCACTGAAGACCTTGGGCGGTAGCCGCGACATCTTGGAGCATTCGGGGCTGGAGAACAATGCACGTCAGCAGATTCACCTGCAGAAAGCTCCCCAGCAAGGACTTCTGGCGCGGAAAGCGTACCTGTCAAAGCCAACCCCAAATGTATCAGATTATCACCGCAAGGTGGTGCAAAGCGACTCTGACGCCTTCATATGCCCTCTGTGATGCATAACTGAATTTACAGAACTGCAATGAACTGCATACAAATGCGACTACAAATGCGGTCCGAAGGTTCCTCCACGCTGCCAACTGGAGCTGGGTCCCCCAAGGGTTTCGGTGGCAAAGCCACCGGCCACATGGCGTGGTGTGTGAGGTTGATCTCGCAGCAATTGACCGATGTGTTGTCAGCCATACTGTACATTCCAAGAAGCACTTGGGATGCTTTTCGTAGCTGTCCAGAGTAGCTGACGTAGGTATTTGCGCTGAGGTATCTAGGCCGTGTAAGTACGGAAGTTCTGAGCCTAGGTTCATAAGACTGAACAAGCTAGAATCTTGAGTCTTCAGCTGTGGAACTCCTCTTGACCTGCAAAGGGGCTGATTTTTCGGCTGACTATCGAAACATGTGCAAAAGGTTGCCCAACGGTTGCCACAAGCACCCTTTTCGAGTTGCAAGTCGGACTGAACCACCACAAGACAGGTCTATAAATCTGTGTGAACGTCGTCTATTTACACTGAAAAAAGAGGCAGCTACACCAGATCTGAACACAGGTGTCAGCAGTCGCCTCACATGTGGGGTGCAGTGCCACAGATCTGAACTGTACATTGAAGCAGTTAAGGTGGTTGATGAGTGAATTCATAGTTGCAGGAGAAGACTCCAAATGGCCAAAACTTTGGCCAGTCTTTCGTGGACTTGGCTCCAACATGCTCCATCACGGCATCTATCTGATCAGGTACAAGCATGTTCTCATTGATCTCTGCCTTGCGAAGGGGCCGACCAGAAAAAGGTCCACCTTCGAAGATTTTGAGACCTGCCCTGGCAGATTCTGTCAAACCATTCCCAGTGCCCAACTCTCGAAATTGTCCAAGTTCCCAAGCTGCCAACAGGTCTGCCATGCGAGTGGCAGATGGAATTTTGGGCTCACCTTTACAGAGATGCATGACCTGTTTGATTTGCCCCAAGGCACTGCTCTCTGACTGCTTGGTAGCTTCAGCAACCATCTTGCCAAATTTCTCCGGCGGCATGGGCTTGTCTGCCCACCCATCGCCTTCTAGCTGAGCACGCAGCGGTTGAAAAGAATGATAGTCTGCCTGAATAAATTTGTGCATTTCATTCACCTCTTCCAAGGCAGCATTGGCAGGCCTCCATTCGATAAAGGAAAGAACTTCAGTGGCTTCATGACCGAACCGACGCACTCCAGTGGTAGCATCACAAGGCACCCAACCAACCCCGTCGGCAAAAAACTCTGCTTGCGCGTGAGGAGCCACTACTGCACCACAAGCATCCCGGACCGCTGTCCCGTACTTGAATCCCAGGGACACCCGAGCCGGGATTCCAAAGGCTCGGAGGGCATACACGAAGCCAGCATTGAATGCCGAGCAGTCTCCTCGACTTTTCTCCCAAATCATGGTAGTTAAATCAGACAGTTCTGCTTCTGTGGCCTCTGCGTCATAGGCATAGCCACTTCTTAAAGCTCTTCCTAAACGCATGGCAAAGGCAATGTCACGCTCCCCACCCTTCCTGTCCAGCCCCAAAGATTCCAGTACTGACCGCACTCGTGGGTTGCATGCCAGGTTGTTGAGTCTTTCTTCTTCACTAAGCTCAGGAACAGGGACAACTTCCGAGATGACAGCAGAACTTTTGGGCTGCACTCGCACACGTTGGTTCAGAAATTCATGCTCCAAAACCAAGTCAGATAGCTGGTCTCCACGGGCATTGAAAAGCAAGAAGCTTCCGCATTCAAAGGCGGCCTTGACAGGCTCCTTTCCTAGCATTGTCACCTTGTGCGAGGAATACCTGCAATGTCCTTTTGTGCTCAACTTTGGCACCATCAGAATGTAATTAGGCACCAGCTTGTTGCCAAGAAGCCGGAGTCGAATTTTGAACGTGTGCCGACCCACTGGCGCAGCTGTAAGGACTAACGAAACATTCTGAAGATCATTGTCAGTGAGTTGGGAAGTCGCACGAGCAAGCTTAGGATGCTCCGGTACTTCCGCTTTTGTCTTACGCATTTCTGCCCAAAGATCTCCTGGGACATCTCGCTCTTCAACATGTCCAACATCAAAGCCACCTATGCCATCCAGTAAGGGTTCTGGACCTGAGGATAGGGAGACCTCTTTCAAGCGAACCCGAAGGAAATCCTCGGAGTCGGGTTTTCCCAAGAATAGATCCAAAGTGGATCTCTCAGGGCGAGAAATCCCAAGAATCTCACCTGCTTGATCAAAGAGCTTCTTGAACATGGGCCTATGGGCCGCCATTTTCGCCGTCAAAGCAGCCTCGATGATTCCGGCGTCCTCGGTCCTTGCCGCTAGGTACTGCATGGCCTTAAAGGCCACTCCGCAGATCATAGGGCCACTGGCCGCACCAGGAGGCAAAGGAAATGAGCTTCCAGTTGCTGTGCGCCATAAGGGTATTGCTGCAAGCGGATCATCTGGAAGGTTGGATACATTGCGCACCAATGCATGCCTCAGCCAAGAAAATGTGGATTAAGAATGATTAAGGCTCCTGACCCCTCATACATCTTCAGAACAACCAATGAAACATCATGAAACCATATGAAACAGAAGGATACCGAAGGTAGATGGCCGCCGAGCTGCCGAAGTTCATTGACAGATTCATCAAACTTACTGGGCCTACGGGCGAGCATCAAAGCTTGATTCATTCTCTTCAGTATCTCTGGGACAGGAATCTGGGACTGCTTGGACACAGCCACGACATAAGACATGAAGTCATCTGCACGCCCTTGAGCGTCTCCGAGTGCCTGTTTAACAGAAACACCCCGTGCACGCTCATCCTTTCCACAGGCAAGAGCTACAAGCTGCTTTGTGGCAGCTGACTCTTTTTGGTTAAGGACTCCGTCTCCATCCTCGTCCAACTGCAAAAAAATCCTCATCAAATCATCTCTCAAGCCCTTATCCAGTGTTGATCCTCTTCCTTCCCTCCAAGTACTTTCACGGGCTTCCCGTGCAGGCTCCTTGGATACCATTCATGTCAATAGTCGATAGAGAGAGAGAGAGGGTCACGTGATGTCAAGCACATAATATCATATCATATACAATACAGCCAGCCCGTCTAATATGTTTATTTTTGAGCAATGCGGTGCTCAATGGTCCCCGACACAAAATGCTCGCCACCAAAACGCATTCTTCTGCCTCCAGGCATCATCTGGCTTAGATGGGGTATGCGCTTCCGCAGGCCCTGCAGGGCAAATGGGAGCAAGAGCGCCTTGTGTCCGCGAATGGCCCCAATAGCGATGGCCTCCAACCTACAAGCGATGGCCTCCAACCCAATAGGGAATGGAAATGAATGGAATGGTTATATATATATATACCATGTTAAACCTTAATTGATCCGCAGTCCTTTCAGCCCAAGGATGTTCCTGCCAGCGGAGGCCAAGGAAGTAGTAGAACCTTCAAGGGTCATGCAGCCCCAAGTGAAACAAAGGTGAAGAGAGACAGAGACTAAAAAACAAATTGGTTTTTCTTTTAGCCCGCTCCTACTCCTACTTATATAATTAAGTGTAGGCGCCTGCATAATTAAGTAAGGGAGAAGTAAGTTACTAGGAGAAGTTCGCTCCTAGCTAGGACGCAGCATAGCTCACGCTTCTAATATGATTTGGTTCACTTCAGAAGCACCTCTTGAGGTAGGGCGCATCATGGCAAAACCAGGCTGCTAGTCTGAAAGGATATGCTTTCGAAACTGCAAGCAACTTGCATCTTTCTTTCCTCCGCCCCGTTTTATGTCGTTGTATGATGTTGTATGTGCGCCTCAACCCTTATTGACCTGGAGGTGGCACTTGACCACGAAACAGGTGATCACCAAAGCTGCCACTTCGGATTCATGGGGGAACTCATCACCCTTACCGTTCCCTCGTCTGTCTCTCTTGCAATCTGTTGATAGGACGCTTATGGATGCTTGCTGAATCTTGCTGGTGTTCTACTTCACTGTGTGCTGGACCTGGCCAAGGGCATAAGAAATATCACAAAGGTTCAAGAGTTTTCAAGGAGAATCTCTGAATCTCTGATCTGCAAGATTCTGCAAGGGCTTTAAAATCTGCAAAATGCGGCCGTTGCAGCTCATGTCTTTGTCCAGGCATGAAGGTACGTCTGATCTTGCAAATCCGCAATCCCCAATATGAATTTGAAAGGCCAACACAAATATCTTGGCTGAAATTTCAGGCCGATGCTAAGGTGGGCAGCGAATTTGGTGCACCTTTGAATTTGAGCACCTGGCTAGGTGTACTGAAACGACCGTCTGCCACGGGTCGTGCACCCTCACCCGCAAGCCGGATACGGTACGGGATAGGCCATGTGATTTCGGGTCCCGCAGCCGCTGTTTCGCCGGATCCAGCCCAAGAGGCCTTCCCGTTCCATGACGGGCGGCAAGTGAGATGGAGCCGGAGAAGCGGGATAAATCGGCGAGGGCTGCCAACCTGGTGACCATGCTCCTCGGCCCCAAGGCTGTGGTGATCTGCTCTCCCATGTCCGTCGTGGAGGTGGGACACCACTGCCATCGCGGAAGTCCATGTGCCCGTAGCTTGCGTGGCCGTGGCTTGTGTGGCCGTGACCTGTGTGGCTTGTGAGGCCAGGGCTTGCAGAGGCATAGTACTTGGAGCGCCTCAGTGCTGTAGCCTGTGCAATCGCACGTTCCTGGGCCTCTTCATTGGCACGTGCCACTGCTGCTGCATATGTGCTCACACCAAACTGAAAGGCAGCGGAGCCTGCGATTTTCACAGCTCCAAACATGGGTTTGGCTACGGCTACCACAATCTTGGAGGCTGTGAAGCCAGCTCCAACCATTGCTTTGGCTGCTGCAGAGGCTGCATGGACGGCATCTGCCTGCAAGTTGGCAAGGAATGGGCCAGACCCACTGTGATGGCTTGCCTTTGCAAAGAGCTTGCCGCCCGCGTCCGAAAGGCTCTTTTCCAGCTCTTCAAGGGCTTTGCTCCTCTCTTCAAGTGCCTTCTGCCATCGCTCAAGCTCCTTTCTCTTCTCTGCCAGCCGCTGTGAATACTCCAGTCTTCCCTGTGGGTGTGCTGCATCCTGCGTATGTGCCTCTGCCAGTGCCACATGCTCAGTGGCTTTGGCTACCCGCTGTTGAGCTTCCCACGCATCGATTCGAGCTTGCTGCAATCGTTCAAAATCCGCAGACAACGTCTCTGCGGAAACTTGGGTGGTAGGCGCAGAAAGCTCCCTTGGAGAAACGCCTCTGTCTGCCAAATCGGGCTTCGCCGCAGTTGGAACGCCCTGCATGCCTTGAACCCGGATGACTTCGCTTGAAGTCGCCACATCCTTTTCCGACTTCTCTGGCAGATGGGTCCCAAAGTCCCTGTCTGCTTTCCATGGCACCCTTTCCTGACTCGTCTGACTTGTGCTCACATTGACCTTAGCTTCCAGCCGCAGCAATTGCAGCTCACGCAAGTTGAGCTGCTCCTCTTTTGCTGACACTGCTTGCTCTCGTCTCTCCAACTCTGCAAGCCTCTTAGTCGTCTCCATGCTGCACTTGGGATCAATGCTTTTGGTGTCCAAGGTTGGCCGTGCGACTTGGAGAATGGCATCATCTTTGCCCTTCGGCTCATTCTTGGCCCCCTTGGACCCAGTCTCCCTGCCATTCACATCGCTCAATGGCGTCGGCTTCGCAATCTTCTCATCACGAGATTGGCCAAACCTCAGGAATGAAACATGTGGCAACAAGTACACCTTTACCATGCACACACGCCTTCCCACATGATATGCCCCGCATCATGCTGTGGACATATGTGCGCGACATAGGCGCAAAATGGTAGGTAAGTGCGCAGTACCTGGCATCTAGCTCGACATGTTTCGGTGTCCAAGCTGTCCATCGTTTGTAGACCTCAGACCCCATATCACATATACCTCCGAGGCTGTGATCATATGAGTCAAAGCACAAAGTGACACTATGAATGGCTTTGTTTTTTTGCGTTGTTGAGGTTAGAGTGTGCATATCTAGAGAGTATTATACAACATACACACCCTTCACAATGCAGGTCCCAAGAACCAAGCCAAGTAACTGAGGTAAGCCATGGGGCCTCTGTGCCTGAGTCTCCTGTGGGACCTCTGCCCATCGTGGCGTTCTGGGACATTCGCTTCCGGGTTCTGCTTCGATGCAGCGGGGACACAAGAACCACCGCTGCTTGGTTCCCTCCTCGTCGCACACCTCACACGGCGAGGTCAAATGATAGCCTAGACGGGCTCCACAGCCACATGCGAAATCTTGAACTTTGCAGTCACACATGCCCGGCATTTTGGCAGCCTCATCCTGCAGCTCAACTCCCTGAGGGCGCTGGTCTGTGGAGAAGCAAATGCTAGATGGGTTAGCCAACATTTGCATCATCAAGCCCTTCTCGGACAGGAAGTAGTGGCATGTACTGCAGAAGAGGTTGAAGAAGGCCTCTGGATCGCCTCAGCAACTTCATTATATCACATGACAGCCCCTTGGCAAGCGGAACAAATGTGCTGATCTTATTATTGGCGTCTAGGTTCCTACGGAACACCTTAGACCAGGAAGCACTGTTGTTCGTCTGGCGAGCAGCTGTTTTCCGTGGCATCCGGTGCCGGTACCCAGTTCTTTGCACGGCATGCTCGATGCTCCCGGTGCTGGTCCGCATCAGCAGCCGCCGCACCTGCAGGTGACAAGCGCCATGCGCGACTGGCACGCCGGTCCTTGGCGTCCGTCATGAACCTGCAAACAGCGTCCGTCAAGCGGTCTCCACAAGTGTGGCAGTGTTTTCAACAAGACCCCACCTCTCGGCGCAAGTGAGGGCCCTCACCCTTTGAACTCTCCAGGTACAATGGAACACAGCTGCAGTACATGGTGCATCATGGTACAAGGTGCTGAGAGGGAAACACCTTGTAGCAGCTCAACAAAACAAAGGTACAGCACAGCAGTAACAAAAGTACGGTCCTTGTTTCGAACTATCTGATGTCAGATCATCACCCGTGGAGATGGCATGCTTCTTTGAAGCAAGTCATTCGCCACAGCTGCTCAACATCCGTGCCCATTGCCTCCGTCCCTTCCGGCTTCCATACGGGGGTCATGTGCAAGTGCGTATTCTATCACACCTTCAGGGAGACAACCTGACAAGCAGGGTGGGCTTAGATCCATAAGGCCATTTCTTGGAAAAGGCCAGCACGAGCTACGTGCAGCTGAATTATGCCCCGTGTGCCACATGCACCAACAACCAACAAAGAGCAGTGCAAACTGCAACTAACAGTTGCCGCGTCATCCCATTGGCGGCACAAACGCCTGAGCAGCCTGAGAATCATCAATCTCACCTGGTAAAGAGAACCCTTCCTGCTCTCTCATCTTCACCAGCCTCGGTGGCAGTTTTGCGACACAGCATGGCATGGCATGACATGGCATGGCATGGCATTGAATGAATCGACCAAAATGAGTTTGGAACTGTGCACGAAAGGTCTCGTCTGTGTCTTCTTGGAGGTCCATCATCGGTGTAAGCCTTGGATGAGTGCCCTAGATTGCACTCTTTCTTTGCCCAAATGTGCGTTCCCCGAAGAACTGAATCACGGCTTATATACATATATATATATAAGTTATATAAGTTATAGAGTAACTTTAAAAAAAAATATGTCGGGCTCAGCATGGTGCAGGGGCTGAACCTTCTTCGCCACCTGCAACGCTCAAAGCAAAATCCAACAACTGGCAACTCCTCGCAATCTGAAACAGCTTGCTGGATGGGAAAATGTTGCATTGACCGACTTGAAAGATTGCACCAAGCTGTCCTGGCCTCTCCTTGGAAGCCTTCAATTCTTCGTTGAGTACTTGCTGTTGCTGGAATTTGTCCACCAGGTATCTCAGGTCAAAACTCGCTTGGAGAGACGGAACCGCAGCCAGTGACTGTGACATGATGTGATGGTGAATCGCCACCCGCAAAACCGGGGAGCTGGCACAACGCCGAGTCAGGAGGAGAAATTGCCGCGTCTGAAAGGGACCAAAAGCTCAGAAAGAGGAGAAAGAGAAAAAAAGACAAGACATACAATTGCGAATCTTACTTTTTTCTGAAAAACTGCTGCTGAAGTATTGCACTACAACGAAGTCAAGACGCACCTCATGCAGGGCGCGAGATAACTCCAGCTGCGCCTGCTCAAATCAGATTCTTGGACGAGCCCCAAGCTCCCAGCAGCTGTGCCTGCGTGGTTTCCTTCTTGAGGGCCTCCGGAAAGCATATGAAAAGCATGCGAAATGGCGAAATTGATCTGTGCAACACATGGCGCCACGCTCCTCACAAAGTGACTTGTGCGTTTCCAGGTAGTTTTTGGCCTGCGTGCACGGTTTCGATTGGTATACTTAGATTTAGTGCATCACTTGAAAAGCATGAGAGGGACCAAGTAGCATCAGGCCTGAATCAGTCTTGCATCAAGCTTTTTGAGATTCATGGCCACTGTGTAGCTGTGCTTTGCCTTGCATTCACCTGTTTGTGATCAGGGCCCGGTCATTTGCCTGTCTCTATGCAACAGGAATCAAAACCCCCTGCCTTTCAAGTTTCGAATCTGCTGTGCGAATTCTTCTCGGTCAATGTGTTCTTCCCAATCCATATACCTCACAGGACATCGAACAAACATAGCACGCATCAAACAAGGAGCCGAGAAAGCATGACACCTTGAGACGTTTGACGCCAACACGTTGGCCAGAATTCAAACAGGAATGTTACCACATTTGTGCAACTTGGTGGCGTCCACAGGTTCATGATCTCATCTTCTTCGAGGTTGTTAAGCTTCAGCTTCGTCCACCTCATGTCCATCATTAGAATCTCACTGATGAAGCGTCGTGGCTGCTCCAGGCAAGGCACAAAGTCTCGTTCTGTTTCTCAACTGCATCCTCGTACTCCTGCAGGACGCCGCTCTGAAGCTTTGAGGCCAGTCTTTTGCGAATGCAGTACGAATGTCCTCCTGGGTCATGTAGTCCCTATCTGCCTCTGGGACGAGTTCATCAAAGAGTTGCCTGCAAACGGCTAGAAGTTATATAAAGCTCGACTCTGCCTGCCCAGAACCTGGATGAATCGATGTACCCAGCCTGAGGTCATTCAGCTCACCTTCAGTGGTCTCCCGAGCAATCGAAGCTTGAAGCTCCTCGTCCTCGAGAGCATCTACGATGAATTTATTCAGAACTCCACCCACTCAAATGGAGATATAATATACGGTATCGCGTTACCGTATACATATAATATACATATATAAATATACATACTAAAACACACACCCCAAAAAAATAATCGGAAACTAAATGAAGAAACGAAAGTGATGCGAACCTTTCTGATGAACGAGTCTGTTGGAGCATGTCTCTGAGCCCATTGCCTCCTCTGCTCGAGCAATTGCATTGTTGACAATTACAGCAATGACCAAGTTGTTCAAGACCTCACGGCATACGTGCGGCAGGCACAACGTTGTCAGACCATGGAATGTATTTAATCCACTTTCAAGCTGTGCACACTCAGCAGAATGCACATCAAGAGCGTGTTCATGTTGGTTTGCATCAAGCGACCATGCACGCGACCGCCACGTAGAGGAGCCACAGTACTCCAACAAAAGGCCTCTGATAGAACCCGATCGTTCACACAGGACATGCTGGAAAAAGACAAATCACCTCATCCCCTCAAGGTGCCAGGCTGATCCTTCTGCAGCTCTCGGCTGAACCAGGTCCAGCTATCCAAAGTCAGGCACTGGCGTGCTTCGCGACGCAAGCAAGAAGCGTGCAAAGCGCAAATTTGTATGAGATGCGAGGCGAAAATTGAAAACTTATGAACCATAAAAACACACCACCACCACCACCACCACCACCACCAAACACACCACCACCACCACCACCAACAACAACAACAACAGCAGCAACAACATCAACAACAGCAGCAACAACAACAACAACTGCTCAAAGCTCAGAACCTGGAAGTCAGCTCTGCACCTGGAAGAGCGTGAACATGGCCTCTGGGACCGTTTTCATGAAGCCGTCCACCATCTGCATCGAGAAATCACTCAGGTTGCGTCAACAAGTAGGATTGGGGAAGGATTGGGGAGAGCAATGTCTGACGAGTCTGACATTATTTTAGACAGTAGTGAACAACTTCAGCAAGGAACCTTGCGACCACCTGATCCTTTGTGACCAAAAACATCTGAGACCACCTCTTTGAACAAACGTCGTGCCAAAAAGCCCTGCAAGCTGACTAACGATGGAAGCACACACCCGAGTCCAACAATTTTCGTTGCAACTTCTGAATCGATCAATCAAGGAACTGATTGGTGGAAAAGGTGAGCGAGCAACTACAGTATGTATAGTATACAAAAACCGTCAAGAAGCCCTTCTCAATGCCCAACCAAGGGGGTGGCACTGGAGGATCGCAAGACGCCCAGGACTCAAACCCACTTCATGATCCTCTGGCTCTGGGTGTGCTGACATCTGTCTGGTCTGGGGTGAGGTTCAGCCCGGACTTTACCAGCAGCTGAACAAAAAAGATTGAGAACCTCAGTCAAATCCAAGAAGTTGGAACTAAGACTAGAGCCTGCCTAAAGACTAGACTAGACAAAGCTCAGGCATGAGCATGTACAAAACTACGAGGATGATGGTGAGCGTCCACAGAAGAATCCGCCCACTATCCACGATGCCACTGACCTTAGCTGCACTTGGACCCGGGGAGTGTGTGCTGCCAGCACGGTCTGAGGCAGTTTCCAGCGACCATAAAATTCTGAAGGCACTGATGGTACGAACCTGGGCCGTGGCAAGAAGAATCCAAATTTGCAGTGCAGAAACACCACATTCCGGATCAAAGAACGCATCTGCAAAATGGATAGGTGCCAACTAATCGATCCTTTCCGGCCGCGGTCGCCCCCAAGGCACCCGGCACTTTTCAAGATGCGAATCAATCGAACGCATCGCAAGGCCTGGCCGATTCGTAGTTCGCCACCTCGGACGGCGAGTCGCAGCTCTCGAAAGTGCGAGACTTCTTTGGCGCCAGCAATGTTCTTAGGCCTTTGATATGTACACTGTATGCTTGGTGCCTTTAGTATGTAAACAAGAACATACTTATAGACATACATGTGTATGTATATATATATATTCAACAACATGTTATGGTAAACAAAGAAGACATTATGGTCTTGAAAATCATGGTCAAAGTGTATATATATATATATACAAAAATATCCCGCCGGGCTCGTCTCTGCGCGTGCGGTTGAAGACATTTGTCAAATCTTCACGTGGTTAATGATGACGAATGTCCGGTGTGCGACTGTGTTTTGCATTGATGTGAAAGGTTTGTTCCAGCATGTAGTACATGAAAACAACTCCAACATCGTTGCGATTTTGACATCGAAGTGCTACAAGACTGTGGTTTCGTGCGAAAAAAGGCGCGCTTCTTCATCCTCCAGCATCATCATCAGTCTGTGGGACAACTTCTGACTCAGCTTCGTCAAGAAGATCATCTTTATTCTGGTGCCAGCACCATTGCCACTGTCGAATGAACTTCATGATGTTTGGGTTTATACCGTCACCTTCACGTGAATGCAAGCTAGTGGGGACCGACTCCTTACACAAACGCCACATACCATCAATGGCACCTGTGGATGAGCAGCTCTCCTGACTTCAACCTTTTCTTTACACAACATGCAACGTCTTTAGCCCCCCACCCAACCCCCCTGTCCCTAAACCGCCCCCACCCCCTCTTCCATAGCGTGTGCGTGTGTGACTTCCTAATAAACATGCACTCAACATGAACATCACTAGCCCCCCACCCCACCCCCCCTCCCCCCTAACCCCCCCGTGTCCCCAACTTCCATATTCCAATGCGTGTGTTTGTGTGTGTGTTCTTGCCCCCCCAAAGGACTGTATGAAAAATCAGTTTCACTACGCGCGCGGTTTTAAGCCCATTAGCAAAAATATGAATTGTATGGATATGTTGCCCGCCTGTGATAGACAAGAATGTTTCAACAAACCACATACTAAGTGCGGCGAAACCGAACCCTGCAGCATCTGGTGTATATGTGTCAGCATGAGTTTCCTGTCATATTTCCTGTCCAGGTGTGCTTGAAGCACCTCTTGAGCTTGGAGTACCACTGAAAGGCTTCAAACGAAGGCAATATGCCGTTAGCTGGATTCCAGCTTTAGCGGTTTGGCTGTGGTCATGCATGGGTGAGACTGCAAAGTGTATCGGCAGGGTTGCTCTTCCGAACCCTTTGTCTGTGCGGCATCCGACGTGTCCCGACAAGCATCTGCAATCTACAAATGTTATTTGCGGATTTTGGTGCACCCTCACTCGCAAGCAACAAATTGTCAATGGTGCACAGCTGGACTTTGTCTATGGACTTCAACCCGTTCACAGCACAAAATATTGCAGGCTTACAAAATATTGATCTGGCCACTGACAACAAATGCTTCAGCTTCAACGGCTGAAGAGCCGGCTGTCCACATTGAAAATCCCCTGCAGGATGTAGGTTGGAATGATACCTGGCGGAGTCACATAGAAACGGTGCCAATGATGCACCAAAACAGCTTTCAATCACGTGCCTGTGACGATAATGAGAATCTCAGTTGCAGCAGCTACGAGTACCAAAGACTTCACTATGAGGCTTCAAGGTTTCCTAGCCCTCTTAGTGTTGGACAACATCAACCGCATTACCAGTGGCAAAAAACCTCAGCTGCCAGCCACAAACCAGCTGATTGAGTACAGTAATCAACGGCACCAATTCTTGGGAGATGGCCAAGTCCATCCATCTGCCATGACGCGCAAGAGGATTTCCACAATAAAGACCACCTCGGTACTTTGCAAGTGATCTCTGCTCAAACGCAGGCTTAAACCCATTCTGCCAAACCGACCAAGCCATACGACACCTATCAACATGCAAAATCGTGCCCATCCTCCTAACCAGCGGAGTAGTCGCACCTTTTTTGAATCCCCATCCTCCTAACCATCCTCTCTTTCTGGCTGCTTTTGCAGTCGTCTCGTCGAACTCTTCGGCTGCAAAAAGCCTCAGCCTTTCAGACCCAATGAAGTCAATTAACATGCGCACCAGGCTGCGACGGAAGAACAAGTGGCATCCTAGTTGCCAATGGAACTATGTAGGGAATATGATGGATGGAACATGATGGAACTATGGAACTCTATGGAACTGGATGGAATATGGAAGTAACAGAAATGCAGAAGCAAGATTCGCACCCTGGCAAAATTGCTGAGAGTACCCCTTCAGGTTGCTATCTCAGCTCATTGTGCTGCCACGTATGGGTGCCACTCCTGAGCCCAAAAAGAACGTGCGCGCAAGCGTTGGCGCGTCCGACTAGACAGTTGAGCATGGGACCGTGGGAGTGAAGAATTTCATCCAGTTCATCAAATCGGGATTCCCTTTGGTTGCCTTGGAGCTGGTGGGCACCAGCAACAGCTTCGCAAATGTGGTTTTTGGCTCCATTCAAATGCTTTCGCAAATGCCAACTGCACCAAGGGCTGGGCCTGAAGCCCATATGAGCAGGCATCCTCAGCAACTTTAAATCAAGGGGTCGGAAATCCATATATATATATATATTAGACTGCTTGAGATGCTCCGTCGCTGCCCCATCCCCCGAAAGACCCCCTCTAAAGGCGGCTCCGCACCTGGGACTTTTTGAAAGAGTGCTCCTTGAAGAGGCTGCGGCATTCAGCTTGAAGATCAGCAACCTCTCCAATCCTGCCAAAGAAGACAAGCCAAACAACATGAAAGAAGTGGCATGCAATCATGCTTAATCGCTTGCCTCTACTACTTGCCACTATATATATATAATATCTGTGCGTGTGTGTGGGTCTGTGTGTGTGGATTCAGTGATCAGCTAGAGTGCGTCAAGCTTTGTTGATCTTTGAGCCAAGCGTCTTTTTTGCATCAGTCCAATCATTCGGGTCAGCCTGGAGAGGTGCACTGTGCCAGTTCACTAGAAGTGATTTTGTTCGGGTCAGCCTGCTCGAGGAACTGGACCAGCTCGAGAAGCTTGGCGTGCAGGGCAGGTGAGACATCAAAATTTGCGCAAATCAACAGCTCCTGCCAAGTTGGCAGCAATCCTACATATGCTGAAGTCTGAAGAGTGTGAAGATGCACAAAAATCGCTCCTTGTCCAAATACTCTGGTTTCAACATTCTTGTGAGGTTCTCGTTGCAGTGAAGGCTGGACATCCAAAATAGGACCCGGCCAGGCATATGCTGGAGGTCGGTGGTGCTCAGGGGCAGCTCAGTGCTCCAAGGGAAGAAGTTGTAGGCGAAATCCACATGACCACCACCCCTGAGGTCCAAATCAGTCATGACCTCATCGCTCGTTCGTGGCTCCAACCAAATGGACAAGAAAGAAACACACGAACACGGCCACCTCCTGTATGTTTGCACTGAGTGTCACACCCCAGCTCGCAACTCATCATCAAACAGATTTCGCGGAACGGCAAACATTGGGCAACATGTGAGTGGCAAGCATTCCATGCCCTCCCAGCAATCCATGAAACGGATTGCAACAACCACTTGAAGGAGCAGGTATGCTGCACCTGCGCAGAGACGCCAAATGCGATGCGGAACCGGGAAAAGAAATACACTGCAAAGCTTGCCTGCACAAGGGCGAGAAACTGTCACAATTTAAACAGGGCGCTCATGATCCAGCGGCAAGGTTCCTCTTCAAAGCCTTGAGCGAGGATGGTCCAAATCTCATTGGGAAGGACATCCTGCCACCAAAAAAATCCACAAAGGAGGACAAAGAGATCAAAAAACAAGATACAGTAACACCGGACACCACTTCAACAACCCTGCCTGCCCATGCCAAATTGCCTGCACATCGGGCAGGAAGACCCAGAAGACTGGGCACCAGAACGGTTTGAAGTCCAACCCCTGCAGGGCGTATCAAAGACAAAAGCCATGAAAGCACAAAGTGTGAACAACGGATTTCCTTGCTTGACCTGCAAGAGATCAACGCCCAGGTGAAAGGAAAAAGCAACCGCACCAGCTAGCACCTCAAGCACCAAGCTTCACCCAGAGCATTTTCCGATTGCTTGAGGTTTTGAGCAATTTGTCATGCTTCATCCCAGCTCAGCTCAGCACCGATCCCAATCTGCCACCAAACATAACAACGGGCAGCCATGCAAATTCAAAGATTAGCCCTGACCTAACGATGATGGGACAACAACGGCCTTTAAACTCCAAAGACCCATCTACACTGCGCTTTAATGTTGGTGCGACTCGCTAAGGGCTATGCAAAGCCAAGAAGGTGCAGAGATACCAGCGCTGAATTATGAAGCACTGCAAAGCTCGCACCAGGGAGGAGGAATGTGGGCGGCTCCACATAGCATCCACGATATATGCTTGCATTGTACTGCCCAGCCATGGCCGGCCAAAGACCCCAGCCACCACAACTTTCGACACTGCACCGGCAAAATAGATGACGCCCAGAAACAATTTGATGAAGACCTTAAGTCTTAAGTTGTGTTCTCTTGTGCCCTACAACATGCAACAAAAAGTAGTGCGGGTGACTTAGGCTTTAGCATCTGAAGTGACATAGGTGTCGTGAATTATTGTTTTTAGCACAAGGTCTATGTCATGGCACCCTCCTGCTTGCCCCAAACGTGCCCGGGGATGGTTGCGGGAGGTGTTAGAGCGCAACAATAAAGCCAAATAAGCCCAAAAAAGAAACCAACAGCTGCACATCGAAAACCGCCGCGTACTAGGCAATGGCACCATCGCACGTTCACCAACAAGTGTCGAGTCATGCCTTTGTTTGAATGTGCCACGCGGGCATACCAACACAATCAAGATGTTGGCATAGCACATATCATGCGCCCACCTGTGTGCAAGCACGACAGGCCCACTACAAGCAAAAACCAGCAAGCCTGCTCCGGCGACAGCATGACCCGACTTCAGCATCTCAGCGTGACAAGATGTCGGCATGTTAGCGTGACCTATACTACACCAGCATGAGAACATGTCAGCTTGACACCACACAAGCATAGCGATGTGGCAGCTCGAATCATTTCAGCATATCCACGTGGCAACACCTCAGCGAGTCAGGGACACAAAAGGTATCTGCAAAGTGTCCCGGAACTGCCCCGCAACCTGCTCTTGCTCCAGAACCTGCTCCGGAACCTCCTCTGAAACCTGTTCCAGAGCTTGCTCCATTAACCTGAACCGAACTTGCTCCGGAACCTGCTCCGATGTGCTGCGAAGTCTAAGAGCCCTTGGCTGTTGGTGCAAAAACATGAATGATCGGCCTGCACACAACGGCGTGGCTGGCAGCCATTTTTCCCTTGTCCCGTCCCTGAGACTGCCCTCCCGGTGTTCTTTTCATGGGGGGCTTGAGCAGCCAGAGATTAAAGATCCTCCGTGCCGATGTGACAATTCTTCAAACAAAAAGGCAAGACTGATCACCATTGATCGTCTATGACAATGAAAAACAAGTTCACCCATAGTGACTTCGGATGAGAAGGACGAGCTGAATTCCGCTTTTTTGCAGAAGAGCACAAGTCACACAAAGCCGCTGGTATGGATGGCTTAGGCTTTAGGCCCTGACCCGACATGGGTGCGTTATGCATAAGAAAACACTTTTTTCACGAGTGATGACTTGGGCTGTGAGGGCTCCAACTGACGCCACTCAAAATGACTCGGCTTGTAAAATGTTCTTTGGATTCTTCGGCTCAACCCGCCAAAGCCTTCCGCGAAGAAGCAACATCCCTGGTTATTTCCTGCAATTCCTTAGTCTCCCCAAATTCCTTAAAATCCATAAACCTCCAGAAAACACAAAAGAATGAATTTGACTGCCTAAGTCTATAGAGTAATAGAGAGAGAGAGAGAGAGAGATACAACAGGTTGTTCCAAGTCCTCTGTCTAATGTCCTCTGACTCTGTTGCTTTCCAGAACGGTGAGAACCAAGGCCTCAGTGTTGAATGTTCCCAAATCATGGTTTAGATATGTTTAGATGGACCACTCCAAGCCTCACAAAGTCACAAAAGGAAACGGGAACAAGCCCGAAGCTGAGAGGTGAAGTCCCATGGTCCTGTCCTCCTCCATCCCTCCCCCCCCCCCGGTTTGGGGAACCAACGGATTCGAAGCGGACGGGAAGTTGTTTTCGATTCTCGGAGTTCTTCCTCCGGTGCCCCCCCGTCTCACGCAATGGACGCCGAGACACCAACAAAGAACATGAAACACATCCTATCCGTTGTGTGGTTTGCCCTATGACATCCCTGGCGAGCCAGAAGCGGGTTTTCTCGGGGCGGGCTTTCTCGGTGTTGGTTTTCGTCACTCTCGCGTGCCTCCTTTGGGAAAGCCACTCGGCACTCTGAGACGCTCGCCGTGTCAAAAGCGGCTTTACAACTCAAGAGTCGATGCAGGTTTCCCCCATTGGAAACATAATTAGCGGAGGAGTTTGCCTTCGACTTGGGAAACACATATATAGGACTTATGGATACTTAGGGTTTGTGTACCTTCGGAGTTTTTCCATGGCGCAGCGAAAGGAGGCTGGGCTCAGACACTGCTGCCAATTGCTGGGGCAAACACAGGGACACAAGACTGACCTAAAGGGGACAAAGGAACACATCTAGAAACAACCTATATATCTATATGTTGTTTTACTGGAGTTATACTGTGTATGTAAGCATGTATATATTTATACTTTTGTTTTACAGTATATAGTTCCTTTAAAGGTCCCTTCTCTGCGTTGTTTTTTGAAAACCTGAGAAGGGAGGGGGCAGAAAGCCTGTGGGGATTGAGAAACCTTTACAGTAATAATGTTGCTATAGGATCTATATGGGGCGAAGTCAAAGTTGCACCTATTTTGCACGTTGCTTGCTTAGCCACGAAAAAGCAGAAGGCAAAGATGTGCGAAATTTCACCTTGAGGCCTTTACTGACCCCCATCCACTGTTACTGGTCATAGGACAGGCGTGGCTCTTGTACAATTGTCCAACTCCCTTGGACATTTAGATTTCCTCCACATATTTGATCTTGGAAGCGGTAGTCATTGGTAACCGCTGGAAGAACTGGAAGGTGCATGACCGCGGTGAAGGGGCCCAAGGAATCCCAGGCGAGCCACTGTGCCCCATCATTTAACCCTTGATTTGTGGCTCGCCAAGGGTAACAGGTTCTTTATTCTGTGCCTCTTTAGGAAAATAGGCCACAAATAAATATAAAAGTGTGGAAATCTTTAATATAAAATATGATGTAGCCACCATTCTTATATTTGATTGACTTTATGGTAGAATTTTCTTACTTAATGCATGACCATTTGGAGGACCTAAGCCGAGCTATTTTACAGGTCTAGGGCGTGCCCTTTTTCTCCGGCTTCGGGCCCTCTTCACGCAAATAAAAGGGCACCCCGAACGTTATCCTTAGACTGGCGGCAATTATCGCAGGAGGACCGTTAACCTTTCCAGTCAATCTGCTTGCAAAAAAGCTAGGTCAAGCACCGTGACTGCAGTCAGTGGTTTCAAGTGAGCTACAACAGCAATGAAAGTCAAGCGCTATTTCTTTCCTACCATCCTGACAACAATGCAGTGATCCAGTCACACACCTGGTCAGCTCACCTCACTTTAATAATCTCCTGAACACTTTGTGATGCTAATGATGCACTACTCAGCGTCATGTGCATCACTCGCATCACCAAGACCCTTAAAAACATACATGTTCAATCATGTTCACTACCTTTTGGACCGCCTCGTTTTTTCACTCTCCCTCGCCAGGCTCTGGGGTCACCTGCAACCACCCCACCTCACTCACTTTCGTAAGGATTTTCAAGGAAATTTGGGCGGATCAAGAGCGACAGGCCTCAAAAGCATTGTATTTATCAGGGTTTGGACCCCCGTACAAAATATTCCTATTTCCTCTTAAGAACCTGCTGTGAAACATGATAAACAGGCACTAGTCTGCATAGGCTCGGCTAGGCTCTATTTCTGTGATTCTTCTAACCAAAGGCTCATGGTCTCGTGGATGTTTTACCATTTCGGCTTTTGCATTGTGACTTAGATGATTTGAAGGCGGGCCAAAGAACGGTGTTCTTGTATGTATGCATAGGCAAACATCATTGCGCCAAGAGACGAGGCTCCATGGAGAGCCCAAAGGCCCTCCACTTAATGCCAACAGGAGCAGCACCGAAGGTAACAAAAGTGCACCATGACCACCATGCTTGGACCTGAGACATGACTGCGACATGTTCAGACAAGAAATAGATAGAAATAGTATAACTGGATCGGGCTAGGGCTAGGGGATGCTAGCGGCTAAGCCCGTTAGGTTGGCTAAGCACCCTGCTCGCAAAAAAGTTGGCCAAAGTACAGGAAGTAGAGGCCGAAGCTTGCAAACAGGAAAAATCGGGGTGCCAAGTGAGAGTGGCAAGCCAGCAGTAGCGAGACCACCTGGGCTCATGCAGCGTCTGACAGCGCGTGAGAGCTTCTGTCAATGGCTGTTTCGACAGGCTGGGGCCGGCACTAGCAACCATCCCACCATCTGAAAGTGACTCTCTGGAAGATGGCCGATTGGGAAGATACCATATGCCTTACACGCATTGTAGCCTAGTCCTCGTCGACCACTCTGTGGCAGATTCGCATTTGCAACGAAACCTCGGATTGACTGCTAGAGAAGTCCAGCAGCACAATATGGCATGAGTTGAATGACACCAAATGTTGGTTCAACTAGAAAACCATCTGTTACAGTATATGCTACGCTGTACTGTCGTGAAATATTGTACATGGGCATAAATGTATGCGCGTATATTGTCAACATTTGTCAACTGCATTTGCATCCAAGTCACGATAGTAGCTGATCGCTGCTGGATGATTTATAATCAGACTAAAGGCAACTGAAACGCAGAACAGCGTGATGAACAGTCGAACCTTCAAGGCAGGGTTGCTAAAGCACCCGGCATGTCAACATCGAATTTGTTTTGTGATCCAAAACCGTCTTCCATTTGCTTGTCAGTCTCTTCTCTCGGCACCTGCTCTGGGGGCTCGCACAGAAAGAACGGCTGCAACACTTCCGGCGAATCCATGCACCTGCGCTGAACGAGACTCACAGCTGTGAAAAGAAAGCAGCCAGTCGGATCCAGTTGACATCAAAATGCTGAGCTTTAGGCACAGCATCTGATGCAAAAAGTGCTTCTTCTGGACGCCGGTACGTGATGTTTCTAAAGCTGAAGCCTCCAGAATGAAAAAAGCTGATCAACCCACACATTCTGCTGTGGCAAAAGGCTGCAAAACATCCGCACATTGGTGCCTATGCTGCCCATAGCCGCTTCCCGGGTCACTTAACTCATCGGATGTTCTTAGCCACCCTATAGGCTTGAGCCAGAACATCAAGTGCAAAATGCTATGTGTGCATGGCATAAACATATAAGTTATAAGTATATGTATGTTGTGTGTATATATATATATATTTTTATGTGTCTTATTTATACACATACCCACGCTGCTCTCTTGGTCTCTTCAACGTTTGGTCTCATGAGGTTCGTGCCACCCTCTCTCTCTCTCTCTCGCTTTCCATTCCTCGTGGGCGTCGGGCATTGAAAAACTCCTCCAGCGCACTGTATATGACGGGTAAGTCTCCTCAGGTTGGAAGAGGTAATGGTGTGGAAGCGGCAGCATCGGAACCGTTCTGAAACTAGGGTCTGCGCTGCCAGGTTCTTTGACCTGAATGTCAGGCTTTCTGCTGCCCACGTGCACAAAGACGTCGTTGAAAATCATCTCCAGGAGCTGTAATCTTTAAACTTTGCCAAGCCACCGAGATTTGCACGCCAGTAAGGACACCATTGCACGCAACTAGAAAAAAGGTCAGCAGCTCGAAGGTCCTGGAGAAAAGGGATAGATCGGATGGCTCTCAATCCATCTGACAACCAGGTGCTGTCAATACGAATCACACATTGCATGTCAGCATGCATTTCTAGCACGTGCACACACAGAAGTAGCAGTAGCATATCCAATTTCGTGTGCTTCAGTTGCCCAAGGCAGCCCAGGGTCATGCCATTCTTCACCATGGAATGAATGAATGGATACCTGAGGGCTTGCAGCGGAGACCAAGCCAACTATAAACGGACTTGTTTGGAAGAGCTGCTTGTGCTGATACTCCGGCAGGCTCCGCTTGTGCTTTTCAATTTGGATTCTGTTCTGCAGCTTGTCCAACCTGAAGGGCAAAGTTGAAGTTCCTTTTCAAACTTCGATCAATGACCAGGCTGGGGACATCTTAATTGGAAAACCACCCCTTAGAATCTAAGCTAAGTCCCTTCCTTTCAAGCTATGCAAAGTCAAAAAGACAAATAATGCCTTTCCCGGCTACTGAGGGCCACAGCTTTATACGTTTTAAATGTCTAATTGTCTGGTGAACCGTCTGTCCATATAAATATATAATTATATATTGTATGTTTTTGACCCCACGGTCGGCTGCGTCGATTAAAACAATTGTACCTTTCTTTCTGGTGATTTCTAATGCTTCATCCTTTCTGATGCAGTCGCGAACTATCAGCTTTTATGAGCAGCTCGATGCTGGACCGGAAACTACCGCTGTAATCGCATATGATGCCTGACTTGGCATTCGGAAAGTGCCTCAATGCTTTGCGGCAAGCCTCAATTAGCCTCAGCCAATACGAAAAGGTCTGTGGGGAAGGTAGAAAGCAGCCAGGAGAAATACAAAAAACTTTGGCCTAATGCAGCTTTGTCACCATGCTTGCTTCTTCGTTTTCAGTGCCTCTTCAATGATTTGCTCATTGGTCTTGTGGTCTGCCCCTGCTAGAACCTGAAAGTCACAGTGGAGATCCACAATGCGCGCTGACTTTCAAGTATGTAGATATACATTATAGTGTACTTAAGGCCATTGCAGCGCTGGAAATCTTGGGTTTCTCATCCTGGTCCTTCGCGCAATTCCCATTGAAACACGACCCCCACAAGCGTCACAAGGAACTTTGTTGCACAAGGAACTCACAAGGCAAAGAAATGTGCAGTGCCCGCAGGGCCTCTTGTTCGTGCATTTTGCCTCTGGTCCGCAATCGGCGTGCTTCATCCAAAGAAATTGCACCTCTTTGCAAAAGTTCCTCCAGCGGCGCACGTTCGCGATCACACTTCAACCCCTCATTACACAACTGGGCTCATCAAAATGAGCGCGCCAACAAAACTAATCCGTAATCCGGCTAATCCGAAAAATGTCTCTAACCCGAACAATCCTTAATCCGCTGTATTCCGCAATCCTTACCCAGCCTTATAATCCGTAATCCTTACAATCCGTAGGATGGAAAGAATCTAGGCTCCACAATAAGGCTGTAGATTTGTAATTATAAGGCCATGCAAGGACCCTCAGAACCCCGAATTGGACGCAAGGGACTAAAACCATTCGACTGGGGGCTCTGGATTTAGATCACAACCCCGATTTGGACGCAGCCGGATCAAATGTGGTTCAAGTGACATACCCACACGACTACCCGGAGGGCTAGGTCATCTGCGCCTGGTGTCATAGGACCTTTGGAAGCCAAAAATCAACCATCTTCACTGAACGCTTTATTTTTCCATGGAATGTGATGGTTTTGTGGCCTGATGACATAGGACTCAACAGCAACATGACCATGTTGGTTCAAGCCTGGTGTCACAAGGTTTTGGACTCGCCATATATGTTCAACAAGTCCTAAGTTGCTAGTCAGTAGTATAATCCGTAATCCTAGTCTCAACAGGGGGCTCTGGGTTCTAATCCGTAATCCGCCCAAAACCGGACAATCCGATAGTTTGTAATCCGTAATCCCCCTTAGGATTAAGGATTACGTTTGATGAGGGCAGCACAATCATTGTCAAGTTGCAAGTAAATCACTGCGTCACTCAAATCAATCTGAAGCACCTTGATGTGTTCTTCGCTTTCTTCAAACTTTTGGTATGCCTCCTCTACCTCACGCCAAAGGAGAAGGAAAAAAACACACACGCAAAAGCAAAAGTTACAGTAGCATATACAGCTTAAGTCATACGTGCGTTGCCTCTCTTGCTTCCATTCGCTCTTTGGCACACACACTTTCGGACACCATCACCTGAACAGCTTGGGTGGACGAGTGGGCGTGCAAGCTGTGGACAGTGCCGGTTCTTGCCGCTCCGCTCCAACCTCGATGGTGCCCTGTGCAAGGTCCCTCGATGCTTCCGCCATGGTTGCTCGCGGCACCAATGAATTTGGCGGGGCGTCTCTGGCACAAGCGAAACCAGCACACAACCAAGAGTATGAGTATGGCATGTCATTCCCACCCAAAATTCACTGCAAGCTTGTCCAGAACTGATTGCGAGAGTTGTCGAGTTGTAGGCTTGCGTCAAAGATATGTTTTGCCAACTGCGGGCCCAATGTGCTGCAGTGTTTCACCTGCTGCGTTCCTCACACAAGTATGTGATAACTATATAGCGGTAAATGATAACAATGCACTGCTGCAAATGCTGCAAATTCCATGTTTTTCACCGCCACAGAGTCCAAGAGCCAATGGAGCACCAAAGACCGAGACAAAGATTTCAGAAAGACAGAGCATCCCCCCAAGATCCTGTGAAACAGTCCCTGGGACCTTGTTGGACCTTGTTCGCCACAGTATCCACCTGCGCCTGCACCTACAGAAAAACGTTCAGAGACTTTCTCAGCTTCAGTCGAAATCACAGAATTTTCTGATCTGAGTGACCGCTTGTACAATACAATACGTGACCAAGGTCAATTGGTATCATATAGCTTCTTGAAGTGCCCCCAGCCCAAGAGCTACCCACATGGTTCACAGCCAGCCACCGACGCTACCACAATATCTACTGTAAGAACTAAAGCCATGGAAGATACGTCTCAACATACAGATCAAGCATGATCAAGTATTCATCTCTCGGAATCTCGGAACGTTCTTTTTGAGTGCCTTATTCAACAAAACGCTCCGAACTCGCTTTGGCACAACAATGCTTGATCATGCAAAACGCCTGTCATCAGAGTCAAACAAGAAATCTATGGTTCGTTCTCATGTGCATCAAACCTGCTCCCTCATGGCTAGAGCCCAGATCACAGAAGCAAATCGTAGAAGCTTCAACATGCTCCAGCAATGGGTCCTAACAGCGAGGGATACCACAAGAAGTCATAATGGCTTTGAGATGCTTTGAGGACAAAGCCATTATGTTTGTGATAAAGCCTAGAGCTCCTCAAAGGCTGTAAAGCCTAGAGCTTTAAACCTTCCATCATCTTGACACCATGACACCGAATCAAACACCACAGTTTGTCCCTACGAGCGTGGAGCTTTGGACAACTGTGCGCCGTTTCAAGGCTTTGCGCAGCTCCGGGCTGCTCCAAATGAAGGGCCGCACTTTTTCTGCACTACGCTACGCATCTCCATTTGCGTCTCAGCACCCGTAGAGTCCCGGCTGCTGTGGCTGCGGTTGCTGTGGGTACGCTCCCACTTGGGCTCCTTGGTATTGAAGAGGTTGCATGGGCTGCATGGGTTGCATAGAAGGTTGGAGCGAAAGCGATTGTTGCATCATAGGCTGCTGTTGGAATGGCTGCGATTGAAACTGCATCGGTTGCTGCATGGGCTGCTGAAGTTGTGGTTGCTGCAGTTGTTGCATTGGTTGCTGTAGCATTGGCTGTTGCATCGGCTGCTGCATAGGCTGCATCATTGGCTGTTGCATGGGCTGCATCTGTTGCATGGGTTGCATGGGTTGCGAAAACTGTGCTTGCTGCATGGGTTGCATTCCTGGCTGCATCCCTTGTTGCATGCCCTGCATCGGTGGCATCCCATTTTGCATCCCCGATTGCATGGGCTGCATTGGCGCCATAGGTTGGAGTCCACCCGCTGCATGGGCGCAGGGTCCACTCGGCTCATAGTCACCACCGATGGGCGCCCCGGGACCACAACTGGGACAGCCGAGACACCCGCCCTGGCAGCCATCTCCACATGCACAACCACCTGGCGGTCCAGGACCGCAGCCACCACAACCGCCACAACCACTACAACCGCCACAACTGCCACAGCTGCCACAGCTGCCACAGGCACCACAGCCACCATTCCAAGCCTCTCCACCCCAGCCTTTGCCGTTCCCTTTGGGTGGAGGTGGGTTTACCTCCCAATCGTTGCCATAGCCCCAACCACAGTTACCACCGGTCCATTGGTTGGACCCACCTTGGCAGCCCCAACCTTGGCTCTGCTGTTGCTCGCGCTCGGCCAGTCGGATCTGCACCAATTCTTTGGCTTTGGCCACTTGTTCGAAGTTCCCGGCAAAGCGCACCGTGCTAAAGCCCTGGCCTTTCGTCTCTTGGCTTAACACGATAATGGCTCCACTTTCAGCCTTGATCTGTCGAAGGGTCTCACCACCCTTACCGATGATCGCACCCACTTGTCCTTGAGCAATACTAAGCTCCTCATATTCACCTCAGTTACTGGTCTTGTCTCAGTGACTGGCTTCAGGGGATCAGACATGCCGCCACACACGTATCACTCTGCAGTCTGAAAACATTCACACGAAGTAGGTAAGTGCACATCTGAGTTCAACTCAGGTAGGAGTGTGCTGTTGCATTGGTTGCTTCTCTCATGTATGAGTTCAGAAACATCTTGTGCGTCTTCTCTCGGCACAAAAAGCGCAACAGGACTGCTGTCGTTTGAAGCTGCGGAACTGGCCCAGTGGCCTGCTGGAGCTCTTTGCACCGCAGCTTCCTTGACTTGATCCAGCCTGGACAGCATTGAACGTTGGAAGAATAAGACGTCTGCTTGCGCCTCTAACCCTAAGACAAACAACTTCAGCACTGCCCCCCAGAAGCATCGCATCTTGCAGAACATGCCGAACGACCATGCATCTGAGGTCCTTTCAGTTCGGTTTCTCACGCATGTGTGCTCTTCTGCACCACCCCAGACCGCACATTCACCTCACTCCCGTGGACCGACGGCACTAGGCCCAACCCACAGCTCTTCAGGGAAACACCCGCAGCCCCCTGAGCCAAGCAGTGCCCTTGCAGCACCGTGCAGCACCAGCACATTGCTGTCAGCCTTGACAGCTCTGTACCCATCTGTAGTGCATACTGACACTCGCACCTCTACACAGTTGCAAAAAATGCATAGTTAGACTGCCATTGAAACATGCTAATCACAAACATGAAGTAAGAAACGAATTCACAAATTCAATCTCCGCTCAACCGATCACTGACGTTGTCATGTTGTGAGTTGTGATTGGGGTTCTTTGCAAATCTGGAGTTTCAACATGCCGCCTTGCATTTTGCGATGTGTTCAGAATGAATCGTTGGAGTCTCATGTGCGATTTGACACTCTGCATGTCCGCGGTCGATCCGATAGACGACCGCGCGCTTTCTTTAGGATAGCACGGTGCGCTTCACGGGTTTCACGGGTTTCACAGTTGTCTATTTGCACCGAGTGCGCCTGTACTTCACCATTTCTGAGGCTTCTCTCAAACCTGGCCTGACAATGTGAAATTGTGAAATCAGCACGTTTTAAGACGTTTGAAGCCAACAATGACAAGATTCGTCACATGTCCTTTCTGCGTTTCCATGATTTGCGGCAGATTGTGTATCAGTCTACTGAGATCAGTTCCCGTCCATGATGCGGATCATGCTGTACCTGAACATCTTGGGTCTGACATAGATGTTAAGAACCCCATTATATAGCCATGTTGTAGCAATATGACTTGGTCCGTTTTAGGTTTGCTGTCGTGCTGTGTAGTTGGGTAAGGCTGTGTGTCATGACATGTCACAATGTCACAATGTCACAAACACCTCCGGCTTGTTGCTCTTGGTTCCTGACCCATACTCTTTGGTCTCTTGATCAATGACCTTAAAAACCAGATATCACAATACAAGCATGCACAATCATAGATATATATATATATACAAACATGTCATATATATATATATATGTTCATAATTACATACAACATTCAGCATATCCGGCCCGCAACCGGAATGGAGCAGCCGGGCTGACATGACTGGGAGTCTTTGCCACACCCCAGTGCTCCAGCTTGGGTCCCGACCACAGTGGCACCAGTTTGGGCCTGCCGTCACTCAAATCACATATGAAGTCTGATGAGGTCTTACTTCCTTCTTCACACGCGTGCCAGAGGCTAACAGGGTGCTTTACAGCTCCAGGTTTCGTCCTGTATCCGCTTGATGTACTCCCCCTGCTTGCCAATGAAGAATCCCACATTAGACCTGCTGACTTGCAATGATATTCTCCAAACATCTTGCCCATGCAAACTGTGCACACAAAACTGTGTTGTGCTCTGCTGAAAGCTGCCGCCAGTTCCCAATCATACCGCTTTCCCTTGAGAGAATCTAGGATGCAGGCTGGTCAATTTGAGTTTCCCAGCCTGCACAAAGAAGCGGATCACTGTATCAGAATTGGTCACTGGTCATGATGAATGTGCGATGGACGCAATCTGACTTCAACTTGTAGCACAAGTGACTATATAGTTTCAATTCATGAAGCACACCACACCGATCAAATATTTTGAAAATTGTGGGGATGTTGCTGTCTCCTTCCTGCCTACATTGCCTGAATCGGAGACCTTGCAGGATGCACATCCACAGTTGCTTTTGAATAGGTGCCAGAATGCAAACTGCATTTTTAAATATGAAGAAACATGAAGGCACGAATCTTGCCCATGCTCCTCCATCTGAACTGCCGTTCTGGGTCCTCCGGCTCCTCCGGCTCCAAAGGGCTGTGCTCCTGGTGCTCGCACAGGTGTCGCGCGTCAGATGGTGTGCTTACGGTACGTGTCACGTCCACACGAGAACGGGACTCCCGGAAAATAACATGGAAGTGGAAGACCCCCAGTTTGCCAACGGAAGTAGCAGTAGCAGTAGGAGCAGTAGTAGGAGCAGGAGCAGCAGCAGCAAGCAGCAGGAGGAGGAGTAGTCGTCGTCATCGTCGTCGTCATCAAAAACTGAATTCTATGTTCCACTTCAATGTCAGTGAGTCAGCTTAAGGATTCCTTCGAGGCTGACATCACTTGCATGCTTTCTCGACTGACATCACTTCATGCGAGTACACCACACGCTCTTGTGGCCTCCTCCTACATCTTTCCCTCAATGGACAAAACCCTCACCAATTGGCATATGCAAATATCAATGGAAAAGGCAGTTTCCAAGTGGGCAGGGCTTCGTAAATTTTATTAGATAAACTGTACAATTGTACAATTGCCGGTGGCATGTGTTCATCTTCACCTCATTGAACGCAGGTCTTTTTTCAAGACCCCAATCAAACTTGCCTTCAACCAGGGAATGACCTTAAAACGGGCAACACCTCTTTCAAGAAAAAAAAGTGTAAAAAATCCTATCCCTTGCGAGTGCGAACTACGTGGGACTTCACTCAAATGATACTCCTCCGGGCTGGACTCCGCGATGTGCATTGTGGCCACGCTTCTCATTCACGCGGCCATCACACAAAGCTTTGGCTACGGCGACAGCCTCAAAGCTATGCAAAATGAAGTCAATCTGGAAAGTTGGCACTGTAGAGTTTCAGAGGGGAAACCTGGAGGTGCTTAGTAATCATAGGGGCTTAGACATTGCATGTTTCCATGTCGAGTCAGTGAAAGATTCGTGTTGAACTCGGCAAGAAAGCTCACCGCCTGCTGAGAGCCCGTGATCCGCACCATGCTGTAGCCCATCTCCTCAGCTACATAGCCCTCTGCTCAGCTCATAGAGCAGCTGTGTGTTTTTGATTCGTTCCGGTGAACTATTATCAGTTGCACAAGTTGAATGCACTAGCAATATGACTTTCTATTTTCGTGACCCGTTCCCTTATAACCTTGCTGACATTAATCCCGTTTTGTTCATCGTGTCCCGGCTCTCTTGCTGATCTGTTTCTGAAATTTCTTCTGCGGTTGATTCGTGCGACGGATCCGTGTCGGCGTTCTTTCGACGGATCCGGGTCGCTGAGGTTGTTGAGGCTGGCACCTTAGTACTCTGATCGATTTTGATGGTGGCAGTGCTGCTGACCTCCATGGAGCGCAAGGTCTCGCCTCCTTTGCCGATCAGAAATCCTCAGGAAAACCGATACAAAGCACAAATTAAACACGAGCAACTCGTTGTTTCGGCCACATGGAGACATGGAGATGAAAACAGCCAGAAACTGAACAGAGATCCACATCATTGCAGTGTCGACTTGCAAGAGCCGTGTTCTGTGATGAAGATTAGGAGCACACTGTATTGCAATGTGGGGCGTGCTCAACATAGTGTTCAGGCATCAATTGAAGTTGTTCTGTGCCAACTCAAGCCATGATTGCAAGTGGTGCGAATCCCAGAAATGTTTAGAATGAGCTTCGTAGCGAGTTCCAGAACAATTCCAAATGCTCAGATGCATCTTCTTGACAACCTTTCTTCAACCCTGTGCCCCTCATGGCATCACAGATTTAGGGTCCAGACCAACAACGCCCTGATCCACCTGGCGAAACATGGAGATGGAACTTCTACCAGATTCACGTCAACCCACTACAGTAATTGAAGTGAACAAGTGCACCAATGTACAGAACGTAATCAAACCCCGGGCATCAATGACAAGCTCGCAATGCAATTAACACCAAACATGGTATACGGTATGCGCCTAGTGCACCCTATGCCACCCTTAGTGCTGCACCCTTAGTACTTTTTACTGGCCAAATCTGGCATACACCAAAATGCCACCGATACATGGTCTGGTCGAAGACTTGTGCCAAGGACTTGTTTTGACAGACAAATGGTCCACTCAGGATTCGTCCTTGCTCAACGTCCTCTCTGCTGCGTCTTGTGTCGCAGCACGTCGCCTTGAACTCCACCACTGCCGCGCCAGGAGGGACTGACATTGGAACTGTCAAGGGTGCAGCTGCCACAGCCTGCAGCTGAACAAGAGTTGGATTCCGAGCTCTCAAGCACCATCACATAATCTTTCTTAGCGTTGATTACTACTGATGACGTGTATGCAATTGCTTCGGTTCAGTATTGGAGTCGGTCACTATATAGCGTTTCGCTCTTGAATCCTACTCTACGCTACAACATGTCCAATGTGCCAATGAAAGTCCTTTCAACTCGAAAGGATCTGAAAGGTTTCTGCATTGGCACTTGGTTAGGGCATGATTTGGTAATACAATGCTACCCGCTACCCATGTCGCCCGTGACTGGCCTGAGTGCCGTCGCCCACGTCATCCCAACCACTCCTGGAGCCGTGGCGATTTCGGCCGACGCCGCCAAGCAAAAAACAGTGAACAAGCACACCGTCCTCCGCTTTCGGGGTCTGGACTCTGGTTTGGACAAAGCCGTTTCAACCGCAGCGTCAGCATCTGCCTAACGAAAAATTATTTTTTGTCTTCTGTCGTCACGGTGGGAATCATGACATGAGCTTTCACATGACTTCCTGCTGGTTTCACATTGCATCACTACCAGCCTGAGTTTCCTCTGCTGGACCTAGTGGCACACACATGAGTTGTGATTGCACCAGCCCTGCGAAACTGGAGAAGCAGTAGCGTAGGAAAACATCTGCATTAAATACAAAACCAATCCGAAAGGAATCTGAGACAGACTTAGAAGGTGCAAGGACCTGGCAAAATTACACCATGGACTACGCATAGACTTGAGCCGCCGGCGCTTGCTACCTTCCCCCATCAGCGCTGCCAATCAAGTGGCCACTGCCGCCATATTCAGCTCGTAAATGACACTTGAATCGCCTGACCCTACTTGATCTACTTCAGACTTGAATTAGATATGAAAAGACACGGTTTATGAACAAATCCGGTGAGAAAACAAGGGTACAAGTCATGTCGTTCATCAGAAAATCCAAGATAACAATGGAGCAAAAAATCAACGAACTTTTTCATGGCCGTTATTGGCAGAGGAATGCAATCGTGTGGAAATCCTTCGTTCCCCGGTGGCACTTGTTCATGTGTGGCCATTGGCTGCACTGACCCTGAGCCAAAAATGCAAGAAGCACCGTGGACACTTAAAATTTACCGAGTCCAACACTTCCTATGAACCTATCTTGGTTTCAATTGAATCATTGCATCAACTTCCCTCAACTCCACTCCGTGCAGTCAGTTTACCAATAGCTGGCGAATGCCAACAATACACGATTATCATTTAATGGGGCACCATCGTTCTGCAAATTGCCACGCAAGTCTTTCTCAACTTCACTTCCTGGTTGGCAAATGCCAATATCGCTACTTATGAGTTCTATTGAATTCTAGCCTTGGCATCACTTACAATTATATAGTGGGAATACTTAGTGTGTTCGAACTAACTAATCACACACTTGTGCAACTCCACTTTTCACGTCACGACTCCCATCCAGCTGCTGTCAGGTGCCACTTCCAGCGTGTTCCACGCAAGGCGCCCGTGGCGCAAGGCCCACCCTGTGGCGCATCACGGCGCAAATTGGCCTCGTCATGAGCGGCCTTTGAGCCGTGGCATGGGACGCCAAAGGCTCGGTGGAACTCGGCGACCGCCTTCACGTTCTTCATTGACAGACGGATCGTTAAGGTCGCTGACTTCACAGGTGCGGAACAGAGGGCAATGTCGGTCGTCCAACCTCAAGATGCAACAGGTGCAGCAACAACATGTTAGAACCCAAAAGCACCGCGGACTATTCGCACACAGCGATGTACAAATCCATGCAACAAACCACCAATACTTTTCAACAATATGACACCTCCGTTCCGTTTTCGTTCGTAATTTTACTCTTTACCGATTGCCCAACCCAATTGCAAACGTGATGAAGTCGGTTCCTCCATAAAATGACGAGGTGCTGCATGAATTTTCGCCACATTGTCTTGCAAACATCTCGCATCTCCCGGACCTCTCCCACATCGCTCGGCTGCACTCGAAGGCCGCACTCAGGGCAAAAAACTTTCATTTTGAATCGTACCACAGGCGCGCGACGTGCCAACAGTTGCCTCAGCCAAGCACATCCAACATGTCGCGTCAAAAGTTAATTTTAGCATATGTTTGCCGTGTTGTGCTTCCAACCATGAAACTTGTTGCAGTCGTGAAATACAAAACGCCTTTGGCTGTTCCACACCAAGTTGCTTCCACTGCATTCTCACATGCAGCCGACGCATGGCTCAACGTCATGAAACGTAGACATGTTTGCAACCGCTCACGCTATGGAAACGATTTGGGTTTGTGCTGGTTTGTTGTTGCTTTTCGGCAATCAACGTCAATTGTCTTTCCATTTTCTCTGCGAATGTGAGTGCCTGGGAGTGCCCACCCGAATCATTGCAGCATTGCGTGCTAAGGAAACTGCCGCATGGCACGCAAAACTGAAGTAGCTGCAATAACATGCGCCAGCTAACAAGTAGCTACAAGTGTGGAAGGCTGAGAGGATAAAGTGTGGAGGATGACATCCGCAGTTGTCTGCGCGGTCACATTGGGATTGGCGTTTGGGGGGGTGGTGTCTTTGGGGTAATGGATGTGGCTGTGAGACATTGGGATTTGCGTTTCAGGCTGTTGCTTCGGAGCCGTGTTGTCGTGACAAGTGTCAACTCAAATGGCGGAGAGAGAGTGGCCGACAAGAGTGTCCTACAAGACTGTCCACCAAGAGTGTCCTACAAGGGTGTCCCACAATAGTGTCCTATGGAAGTGTCCTACAAAAGTGTCCCAGAACAGTGTCTCGCTAGAATTTCCGAACAAGGTGTCATACAAAAGTGTCCCCCAAAAGTGTTCCGCAAGGGTCCTCAAAGAGTTTCCTACAAGAGTGCCTCACAAGATTGCCATACAAGTGTGTCCCGCAAGAGTGTCCCTCAGGAGTGGTAACTTGTAGCAAGAGTGGAATGTGGGAAGCAGCTCCTGGCAGCCACTTGGTAGTAGAAGTGCAGTACGGGAATCGGTTTCTGGTTCGTGGCAACTTTTGTCGTGGCCTCAGAACTGGCGCCTTGGTAGCACTGTAGAACGTACGGGAAGCAGTTTCTGGGAACTGCGGCCTGAGAACTGTCAACTTATGTGGCCAAATTACATCTGAGTACGCGAGTGTCGTACGTGAGTGTCCCACAAGAATGTCCCGCAAGAGTGTCCCAAGAGTGTCCTACGAGGGTGTCTTAAAGGAATGTTTCCGCACAAATGACGAAAGTGTGGCACGAGAGTGTCCCACAAAAGTGTTCTACAAGAGGGTCCCCTTTAAAAGTGTCAAGAAATGTTTGAGCATTATTGTTTTAAGCGTTCGTTTTCGAGCACGTGTTTGCATTCAGGTTCGTGGGTTCCATCTTGTATGTTTTCTTGTTTCGTCAGATCAACGCGCAATTCGATCCATGGACACACTCATCCGCCTAACCTGAACATTTTCGTCACCCAAAACATGCAACTTATACATTAGGAGGCCCCCCACCGCCACCACCATCATCATTCTGGAATCCTCCTGGGCCTAAATGTGATGCATCCGCCGTGGAATTCAACCTCAACCCTGGGGCCCCATTCTACACCTATAACTTTGGGTTTTTTTGTTTTTCAGGGGGGTGCACCCTCTACAAAATGAATTCGGCAGGGCGCACTCCACAAAAGCACATGTATACAGAACGGTGACCCCGAGGGTAGATTTTGACAATGGTCTATTTTTACAAGGCCCTCTGAAAATCGTCTAAAGAATGGTTCAGCAAAATTGCAAATTGTCCATCGAGCAAAACCAATGGTTTGTAGTTTTTGAAGGGCGCCATGTTATAGAGATGTGACCTTCGGATTAAAAAAATTGCCATTTCATAGAGATTTGACGGGATAAACATGTTCTGAAAAATCCAGTTGTTTTCTACTTCAAAAAATTTGAGACAAAACAATGAATTCTAAACCAATCGAATAATGTCTCCACATGTCTCTATGTAAGCCTTTGTGAAGTGGAGGTCCTCAATCTCTATAAAATAGGCTCCATGAGGGCTGCGCACAATTGTGCGTCATTAAAATAGAGTTTCCATAGATGCTCCTTGACTACCCAAATTGTTCCAAACATGTTCCCCATACTTTTCCAAATACCCATATAACCGTCCAAACTGGCGTAGGCTCCCCTAGAATTCCTTAGTACAGCTTGTAGGTATTGCAACTTTGCGTGGACTTAGCAAATCCAAGCAACGCCTTCCATTTTATAGAAGCTTCACGGGATAAACGTGCTCTGGAAAACGCCCAGTTGGTTTAGTTTGTTCTATATGGTTTTATGTGATGTTCAACAATGGCGTCCGGTGGAATGAGGAGATCAAGGAAATGTCGATGGAAAAAGGACGACGCGAAGTTTCAAAAAAAAATGGGCGGTTGAGAAGTTGCAGCCAAGCAAACCGAAGGCATTGGGCAATACATGAAAGTATTGAGTGGGGTGGCGTGCATCATTGTTTTTAGATACTGGCTTGGCTGAAAAACAAGACACCTTTCCCGTTAAAATCTTTGTACACCCCGAACCGATTCCAGATGCTGACATTTCCCGAATGTATGCCGCCTCAAGTCCGAAAAATGAAACCTCTATACAACGGGGACATGCAAACATTTGCATGCTCTTGGAGGACCCAAAAAAATCATCTATAAAATTGTTAGCCCAATCAAATCCAAACAATATTCCAAAACCTAACATGGTTCTGAAAACAACCTGGTGTAAAACAAATATGTTATAAAACAAAAAATTGATAAAAATTGTATATACATATATATATATCCCTTTCTTGCGCCCCAGGCCCCCCATTCTGCACTATAAATTCCCACCCGGAGTGCAATTCTAATGTTTCTTGCCTCCTCCTACGTTCCCCTATATCCCAGCATGTTACTCAAGGTGGCTGCAAATGGTGTAGCGCTTTGATGCTTCACGCTGCGCCACATTGCAGCGTCACATCCCTAAACACTGTGACGCGGCATCCCCGACGCCACATTCCCAGCGCAATTTCGACCTTCAGTGCAATAAGCCGTCCTTCGTTTTCAACAACAGACTTTCGGCACTGCAGCCTGAACTTAAATGGACGATGCGTGTTTACGGCAAAAGTTAATAAATACAAAAGCAACGATGGCACCAGCGCCAGGTCGCAGGGACGCAATTGCATTCGGTGCATGCGACACATTTTTCCAATCCAACCAACGCTGGAAGGCCGAACCTGCAAAGTGGTCACGGGCATTTGCTGGCAGGTTTGGTTTGATAACGGGCTCTTCAAAAAAACCATCGCCAGAGTCCCTTGCACCCGTCAGGTTCGGTATCAGCGGCCTTCACCAAAAAAATTGCCATTCAGGTTGGTACATGTCAATCAGCAACATTGAGCTGGAGGGATAGGGGGGGCTCAACAATATTTTTTTTTTGACTTGAAGGCTGGTTTTTGATGCAACTGGGGAAATGTTTTTCGAACGTTGATCGGCATCATGGTGTACCAATAGTCAACACAACCTGTGACAACCCCGCAAAGGTGGATGCTAAGGTCCACCTCTCCACGTCTTTTTCGCAGCCTCTACTGTTGGCATGTCTAGAACCTGTCAATACAACCTCTGACAACACCACACAAAAGTAAATGCTAAGGGCCACCTTTCCACGCCTTCTTCGTTGCCGTGTTTGGAACCCGTTATACATTATATAGCTGCGACGCAGCTGAAGTCAGCACGAGCACTTTTCCCGAGAATTCTCAAGCAAAACGCGCGTTGCGTGGGGAAACCTTAAAATTCTCAATCTAAGACTGGAGTTGGGGCTTCGGCTGAGAATTCTCAGGAACAATGTTCGTGTTGACTGTTGT